CTAATTGTTAATTTTTTATAGAGTGTTTAATTCTAGTAAAAAATAATAGTTTTCAGGGCACATGTATATTGAAAAAAGGATAAAACACAAAGTATGACTAAAAAGAAAAAAAAGACTGCTTGGACAATGCTAGCATAATGGACACGTTATTGACGGGGCTCCCACACAAACATGAGATTTTCTTGTAAAACAAAGGGGGGCCTAGCAAAAAAAGTTTGGGAACCACTGCATTATACAATAAATGCTATAACAAACAAAAGCAACTGACAAACCGATCTGAAATAAATCTCTGCATAACGTTCAGGCAGCCTGTAATCATCCTTTGAAAGAATAATTTTAAATTCTTTAAGAATGTAAATAAAAAAGTAACAACTGCAGGAGAAATTTCAATATAGAACCAGGCAAAGTTTTACCTGGTGCAGTTTTGCACATTTAACCCTGAGATGCACACGCGGGGTCGTTTTTGACCCCACGTGTTTTGATTCTTCAAAATCTTTAAAATGAAAAGTTGTAATATATTCATATTCCAGGTATTCTTCATAAAACATGTTTGGGACATGAGGCCATTTGCATTTGTATTTACTTTTTCATTATTTTTTAAAAATTGCAGTTCTTGTATCACTACCCCACTCTTCCACAAGTGGCGTCAAAAATGAGCCCAAGCAGTTCCTATGAAATCTTCTATGAGCTTTTAATTTTTAGCAACTCCGACCGTCCCACTTACACTTCTGATGTCTCACCACCCAGGTCATTTTTTTCACAGCAACATATATGTAAGTATTATCTCCATTTATGAACTTGTTTTTCATTGTACCGTCCATGTGTTTTTGGGAGTCCTCTGCATAACCCATTGTAAAAGGAAACTATGTCAATTTGAAGATATTTGCCATTTCTTGCGCTTTGATGACAAGAGGACCAGAGCCAACCGACTGAAACAGACCACATGGCAGCTTCCTGCTACATATGGGACCTGTTCCTGATCAACAGCAGGTAGGAATTCATCCCCAGTGATTGTGTTACAGTGGATGAACAACTTGTGCCTTTCAGAGGTATGACCCAGCTTCTACAGTAAACCGAGTAAGCCCACCAAGTATGGCATAAAAATCTTCTGGGTTTGTGATGCACGCATCCCATATGCAATTGATGGGATTGTGTACCAAGGCAGACAACCAGGGGATGACACCCAGAAGAATCTGGGGGAAAACACTGACAGTCAGTTGTGCAGTGGATTCAGACACACAGGCCACAACATCACCACTGACAACTTCTTCACCATCTTGCAGAGCATCTCCTTGAGAAGGTTCTGACTATTGTGGAAACTTTGCGACAGAACAAGCCAGACATTCTTCCAGTCATGAAGGCTTCCAGGTCCAGAGATGTCCACAACCTACATCACTGATGCAACGGGAAGGTGTGGAGTGAAAAAAAGAACGGTGGCAATCCAGCCACAGGAAAGAAGCACACGGGGCCAGCAGAAGAAGAAGAGGTGCCAGCTGTGTCCAAGAAACAAAGATCGCAAAGCCACTGATTGCTGTTTGAAATGCAATACCCCTGTGTGCAATGATCACAGCCAGAAGCAAGTAGTTTGTGACAGCTGCACGCAGTGAGAGGAGATAAGATGTTTTTGTTGTGTTATGGTCTCCGGACCTCTTTTCGTCCTCCAGACATAGGGACAAACATGTTTTGACACCTGATTGATTGACTGATTGTTCAGTGCTAAAATGTAAATGAAAAGTAAACAACGTACACATCAAAAATGAAATTTCTCTTTGTTTGAACAAAATATATAATCTTAATCAAAATGAGAGAAATGTCTTTAAATTATTGCAAAAGCGCTTTGATTTTGTGGAGGGGGGGGTAGTGATACAAAAACTGCAATTTCTTAAAATTAATGAAAAAATAATTAAAAATGCAGTTTTATGAGGAACACCTGGAATAAGAAAATGTTACAACTCTTCATTTTAAAGATTTTGAAGAAAAACAACCCAGTTTATTGCAAAAACGCTTTGTTTTTATTTGGGGTCACTTTTGACCCCACTCGTGGAAGAATGTGGGTATTGGTAGGTTGTGCATCCAAGGGTTAAAAGAATGCGCTGTAGAGAAGCTGAAGGCTATACTCACTGGCAACGCTTTCCAATGTAGCCAGGAGGACACGAACAGGTGTGAGTTTCCTGTGTTTCCACACAGTCTCCTCCATTCTCACACTTGAACTCCAGACAGTTATCCACCTCTGCCCCACAGTCTTTCCCTTTGTATCCAGGCTCACATTCACACTGGAAGTCTGCCAGGAGGTCTTTACATGTCCCGTAGACACAAGGCGTTGAAGAACACTCATTTATCTCTGTTTCACACAGCTCCCCCTCCCATCCAGGTGTGCAGCTGCAGTTAAACTCATTAAACTGGTCCTGACACACGCCCTGGTTGAGACAGGGCTGCGAATCACAAATAGGTGCACCTCGGCACCCAATGCTTGGCTCGTGGCCACCCACTCTGGTGAATCGGCTCATCTGAGGTGGATCTGCTACCTTTATGAGCGGTAGGTAGACCCCACCCAGCCTCACCTCTCCTAAACATCCTGTGTATTTTTCTGCCAGCCAGATTTTGGTGTCATTGAGAAAGTTGAGGTTGCCAGTTGTTCCAAAGCTGACACCAGCTCTCTGTCCATCTACGGTGAGGCGCCAGCGCGACTCTGACTGTGTTGGGTCAACCATGGTGAGCTGAATGTGATGCCATGCCCCATCAGCGATTGTCCTGTCGCTCGTGAAGGCCTGCAGCTCTGCACCATCCCCACTGTCCAGTTTGACCAGCAGGCTGGAGTTGAGCAGGCCCAGGCAGAAGACCTCGGTTGTGTTGACAGAACGCAGCAAGATCCCGTTCTCATCCCGTGTTCGTACGTTCATGGTGATGTTGGTTATGGAGCTCAGCAGGGAGCTTTGGGCAACGTACTGGAGAGAATTGTCCTGGAAAATGGCTTCAGTTAAACCTGTGAGGGGAAAACGTCATGAGAGTTACTGGCACTAACAAACAGGAATATTAGGAAACAATTTTTGAAAAAATAAATGCTGCTGGTTCAGAGACATCAGGTTAATTTCCACCTCCACCAAGGAGGTCATTGTTTGATTTGTCTGTTGGTCTTTCCTGAAGGATATGGATGAAAGTTTGATCAGAGTTGAGGCTTCGCCCACCTTAGACGTCTTTAGAGTCGAATCTTGACTCAGGAAGTATTGAATAACACTGTAAGACTGAAATAAGAAAACTTGGAAGACAGTGGCATCATGCTAAGAAAATAACTAATCCAGGCTCAGATATCCTTCTGGATCAAGGGACCTGCTTTATGCAGCAAGTCTTCTGTGGCAAACACTTTGTAAAAATGGGAGGAAAGAATTACTTTTAGAATTAGATGAGCACTAAAAATGATTCCTGCTAATTGATTAAGTCTCAATCAGTCACACACACTCTTAAAGTGCTTTTATCTAACTTTCACAGACTCGGGGTTCAAGTATTTTGTCCAAAGAGACTTGGACACATGGACTGGAGGATCCGGGGATCAATCCACTGACCTTCTGACTGATGTACCATCTGCTCTACCTAGTCTATCATATTTGATACATCAGATTTTTAGTCTTCTACATCAGCAGTGGGATTTCTTGCTTTCCCTCCAAAAATCTAAATAAATTGCAAAATTCAATTTTAAGCACAAAATTGCAAAAAAGAACCAGAAATATCAAAGATTATATAAATTCATATCCAGATTATTTTGATTTTTTAAAGAGCTAAATGATTAGCTGTAGCACCAACAAAGTGAAGAGTAACACTTGATAACTAAACAATATAGTTCTGTAGAACCATTGTCATGTTGCTCTCTGTGCCACTTCAGTGCTGCTACACAGTAAAAGCCATCTTTCAGGTCCAGATGACCTACAGTGTGACAGATTGGGTGTGATACAACCATTCCAACCTGCACCTCTGGCTAACCAGCATGCCTGTCGCCATGACCTAGCAAAGAAGCGCCTGAAAAGTGTTTCAGTAAGGCCTTCTAGCTATCCGCTGGGCTCTCCTTGTGTAATGACTCGAAAAACATCTGGCTGTCACTCGAGACACTATTTTGAGGGAATTGAGCCAACCCCATTCAGTGTTTTGGACCCATCGAAAAGGTCTTGGCAGATTTGGGAGGCTATGCCTAACCGTTATTATGGTGCATGGTAAGTGATATGTTTAAAAGTTGGGTAGGACGTTCTGTGACAAACCACTGGTTTGTATTTATGGGAGGGGGTGTTACGGCCCTAGCTGGGCCTCCTGATACTGCCCTTGTGTGGGCGTGGTGTTTTTCTCCGCCTCCTCCTCTCTTGCCACGCCTACCCCCTCTGTTTCTCTCACTCTCCTCTCTCCCCAGGACACAGCTGCTCTTAGTTAGCCTCGTTGGCCACCTGAATCCAGTCAGCAATCACCTCTGAGGCTATTTAAGCTGGGGATGAGCTGTGAGCAGCGTGGTTTTTTCTCTGGTGTTCTCACATTGGGTGTTGAAGTTGTTGGGAGAGATCCTATGGTGTGGAAGCAGTGTGCAGTGTAACGGCTTCACGTGAGTAGTGTGGGCTTGTGGGCCTCGGCAGCAGTAAAGCCAGCTGCTGCTAGTGACAGGGTGAGCTCGTGGGCCCCTGGAAGTGCCTCCTCGTGGTGTGTTTTTGTTTGGTTGTTGTGTTCTTTGTTGTTGCAACCTTTTTTCCTTTTTCCAAGTGTTATTGGTAAAACGGCGTTGCCGGCTCTTTATGTTAAGATTATCTAAAATAAAGACTATTTTATTTACTAAAAGCCTCTGTCTGTTTTCCTTTCATTCTGTTCTGGACTCATTTGTTACTGGTCCCCTCACTCGCATGCCTAGACCCCTTCCGGGGGAACGTAACAAAGCCATAAAAACTACTTCAATATGATGCAACATTATGTTTATGCACCTGCTACAGAGCTGTTAAGGTCACCGAGTCTCTCTGTCAATCTCATGAGACGTCCTCCTAAAAATCTAATGTTAAAAACTTTAATACAAGATTCCTGATTTAAAAGAAAAAGAGCAGAAACAAATAAACCTGAATCTCTCTGGTTTGAAAAAACACAGTGCCAATCACTGCTCAGGGATTACTCACACTCATAACCATCCTGCAGCTCCATGCAGCGCACTCCCTCGGGGCAGGGCTTTTCGACGCACCACAAGCGAGTCTCGCATAGCTGACCCCGGTAGTTGGTGGAGCAGTTGCATCTGAAGTCATTCCAGGTTACCTGACACTGTCCACCATTGAAACACGGTTCATCCTGTGCACAGACAAACACAGATGGATGGATTAGACCATCGCTTGTAAAATCTCTCACCTGATGCGACCGCATAGGTTACGGCTACTAAGAGGATTGAGCGCTAACTTACAGATCAGCAGGATTCTCAACCAGATGAATGATAATAGGGTTATCACAACCAAGCTATTAGACAGTCCTGCAATTGCCATGAGATACAAGAGCCATATATTTTCCCATAAATCAACTTTGCAGCGTATATTAATCTCTCTCATTTCATTTTCATTTTGTCTGTAGTCAAATAGAAATGTTTCCAAACAGGAAACCTCACTGTGAGGGGGCTGTACTTACCAATCCATCACCATAATAAATGATTATAAATAAAACTGTAAATCATGAGAAATTAAACAGGGATGCACCGCATCCTTTACCTTGCACGTATCATCACTTTGGCATCCTGGCAGCAGGTTATCCTCAGTGCTTGCCTGGTAAACCTCCATCCCCTCTGGATAACCTTCAGCAACCAGATGCTTGTGATCCAGTCGAATGTCCTGCAGACAGCCCTTGAAGTTTCCACCCCAGGCATTCGTGCTCTTGCCTGCAGGGAGCCCTCCAACATATGCCACATCCCCGGCTTCTACACTCACATTTCCTAAGGCACGATTATTGCCCGCTTTGGGAAAAACCACATGGCCACAATGTACCTTTACAATCACCAAATTATTTTTCCCATCAGTAACTGATCTCGCTTCTGAGAGAAGCGTGGTGTGAGGACTGTAGAGAGCAACAGTGCCTTCTTTCAGGTAGATAGTCAGGTAGGCGTCTCCTTCTCGATGGAACTGCAGGAGCATGCCACTGTGTTTGAGAGAGCGCATAAAAAACGAAACGGTGAAGTTGTCACCGTGAGTTTCTGATATGTTGAACATAGAATAGCTGGTGCTGTTTTCATGTCCAAAGGTCCAGGAAGGGTACTCTGAAGTAGGGGGAAGAAGGACAGAGCTTTAGTATTTTGTCTCATGAACTATTAGATTTTATTATATTTATTATGCAAATGTGTTCGTTTTTATTTTCATATTAAGATTTTAAGTACTAAACAAATGACGAGCACTGTGACATGTATGAATCAGGCTGACTGCAGAGGTGGGTTAGTGAGCTCTTCAGTAGCATCAGTAGCATTTACTATTACATTCTTTCTTTATGATATTATAATTTCATTATGATTATTTGTGTGATATATCACATAAGATCCTCCAGCAAATAGTAATTTCTTTCATTCAAAAACTAAATGTAATTGGCTAAATTAGTTTAAATTAATGCCAAGTTGTGCAGAAACCACAACTGCACTCTAAGGTCAAATAAAAAGGTGTTACTCAGTTTTTAACTGATGCATTTTGGGTCATTTTCTGCTTTTTTATTACTTTACTTTTATTACTTTTTCTATTATTTTATTACTTTACATTCTGTAATCAGTATTTTTGAAACAATTTCATTCAATTTTCTTTTATTTCTATAGAGTAATTTCACAACAACAACAATCCCCTCAAACAGAACCTACTTTGAACAATGAGAAACCATTTTCAAGACTTGGCCTGGGCTTGAACATTATTCACAGATTTTGACCGATGTTATTATTTAAAAGGAAGCCATAGTCTGATAAAATATTTTTGCTTAGTTTCACTGAGCTGTTGAAAGGTGCTTTGCCTTTTCCAATTCTAGTTTTGGTGGAAATTACTCTTAGCTGGTAAGAGGTGATTTTGCTTAATATAACCCTGGAGTCACTTTTCAGTGCTTCTGGTTTGACTGGAATATCTGCTTCTTATAACATATGGCTGTTGACGCAGATGCAGCTAGCATTAAAGCATTAAATGTTACTTGTAACCTCTTAACATGCACTAGATCAAACCATGTTTACAGATGGTGTTGTGTTAAGGTTGCATTTTAAGAAGATGTAACATTTGAATCAAGTCTCTTTTTGTGACCTCGCAGTTCATAGTTATACCCAACAGGTAAAATTTCCAAATAAAGGGAGAGCTGTGAATCTAACCATAACTAGGACACCTGGGGTTTTGTGTGTTGGGTTACTAAACCTAAGAAGTTCTTCCCTGTTCTGTTCATTTGTCCAGAAAACCCTTTTTTTCAGTCGAAGCAGAGGTGAGATGTTTACTCCTACCTTTTTCACAGTTTTCTCCATAGTACGGTCGATGGCACTGACAGCTGGCACCGACCCACATATCCACACACTGTCCACGCTGCATGCATGGGTCCTCACCACACCAGTCTGGTTTGGTACATCCCAGTTCCAAGCCTGAATTCTCCTCCCTGATGAGATCTTGAGGCAGCAGCAGCTTATAGTCAACTTGAAAGTCTTCCATGCAGCCGATGAATGCCTTTCCACTGGACAAGTTGCCCACATATTTCTGTGGTGCCCCTCCTATATACAGCTGTTGGAAGGAGCTGGATTGGAGGAAGATCAGATGGTTTCGACCCTCATTCTTTACTTGGCATCCTTCCTCACAGCCGGGTCCTTTTACAGCCAGAACCAATCTCTCATCCATGGTCACGGTTACCGTGTGCCATTCTCCATCATTGACTGGGCCTGGGTAATTGGCCCACAGTAGCTTCCCTGATTTTACCTTTGCTTGGAGGGAGCCTTTGACAAGCTCGAGAGAGACAAAGTTCTCCACGGTGCCCCGGTAGTAGAGCACCATGTCAGGAAGAGTACTCCTGAATCGAAGCTGCATGTGTAGAACATTTGGCTTCGTCTTGTTCTTGAAGACAGGCAACTGCATATGGACGTAACCCTCTGAGTTGAAGGAGAAGGTGGTGGAGGTATTGCAGTGATCTCCTGTCCAGCCAGCAGGACACACACAGGTGTAGCCGTGTTCACCGTTCTTGATCAAAACAGGGACGCAGCCTGCTCCGTGCTGGCACTGGTGCTGCCGGCAGCCGACGAGCCTGACGTCGCAGTCTGGCCCCCCCCAGGGCTCATGGACGGGCTCCAGCACAGGGCAGTGACACCTGTAGGAATTGGCAGCATCTTCGCAGGTGGCACCGTTCTTGCAAGGATTACTGTCACACTCGTTGATGTCTACCTCACAGTGTACACCTGCACGAGGAAACACTGACATTTAGTGTCACTGCAACTTACTCCAGCAACACTCGTCCAACTTTGCCATGCTAAAATACATTCACATGGATCATATTTTCACTACAACATCTCTTAGATATCAAGTCAGTGAAGCACACATGTAGATGAAGACAAGGGATGAGCTTTCTGCGATTAACAGAGGAGGAAATGACCTGAGGAAATAGCTGTTAATTTCACAATTAGACAACAATAGGATCTTCAGTCTCCCTAACACAATTAACTTAGTGACTGTCTTGTTGACTGCACCAACTGAACCTTTAAATATTGCATTTGTTAGCTGTGTATGGCACACCCTCTGTGTGATCGGTGGTCAGCGCTTGTCAAACTCTGTTCAACGTTAACTCTCAACAGCAGCAGTCAACTTGCATTAACCTAGTCCTCTGAAACCCTCTACCCCTGAGGTGTCCTAAAGCTGCTCCTTCAGGCTGCCAATGCGCCACTCTCATAAAAACCTTGCAACTCTATGCAAATCTCTTCTATGCAATCAAAGAGTGCTGCATCATACCTGTTACCCACCAGGGCCCACAGCAGCAGCACAGCAGCAGCACCAGCCTCTTTTCTTCCATGACCCACTGAGGCACTGGACGACACACAGCTCACACTGGATGAGTGAAGTGACATAACCAAGTCCTCTCTCTCTAACATACGCACACACATAAACCAGAGGTGCCTCCTCTTCTCTACTCTGTACCAGGCAGACAGGCAGAAGTGATTACACCAGCCCTGCCCACCTTTCCTTCTGCCTTTTTTCTCCCTCCTCCATCAGTCTGTGAATTCCTCCCTCCCTCCCTTCTTCCTCCTCCTCCTTCCTCACTCACACCCTATACTCCTACTCCTATCTGCAGCTCAGTCCTATCAAAGCGATTAGCTCCCAGCCTCCAGCTGGCTCCTGTCAGTGTATGACAACAGGAATGCTGAGCTGCAGTCCCCTCCTTGCTCCATGAGCTGGTTTGTAGTTACTCACCAGTGCCAAGTACTTCCTGGAAAGAGCCAGCAGGAGGTGCTGCATGTTCAGTGTTTAAGGTGTGTGGGCCAGGTTTGAAAAGCACCGGACTATATAATAATATATACAATATATATCTATATTTCATTTTGTTTAGACCCTCTGCTCTTGTATGAATTAAATCCACAGCGAAATCATTAGTAGCAATGAACTGCACATGCTTCTGACTGAAAGCTGGATTGATGACACTCACAGCATAATGAAGAGCTGATCGAATAATCACCCGCTGCAGACACTATAGTTTTGAACACTGCACCAGTAAAAACAGGAGCGGTGGTCAAATTAATGTGATCTGTAAAAATTATTTTATTCGTAAATTTTTGTCATGTAACAGATATTTGATTTTTACATTTCTAAGCTTTATTAAATATATAAAAATGTCTCTATGTCAACATTTTCTCCTATAATTGCTAAAGATTTGAAAAAAATGATTCATCAGTTAATCTTGCACCTCTTAACTTGCAACAAAGAACATATGCATGTAGCACTTTTCTACCTAAGCACTCAAAGAGCTTTATACATGTCCTATTCATCCATGTAAGTGCTTTCTAGCCAACATTCACACTCCAATGAACACATCAGGAGCAACCTGGAGTTCAGTATCTTGCCCAAGGAGATCCAATTAGCAGACGCCCTGCTCTACCTTCTGAACCACAGCCAGCCAGGATACTGTCTGAGATTCCAGGGGCTTTGACAAAATAGCAGTACTTGACATGCTGGGAACAAGTATAGGATGGACCATTATTTCAGCCACAGTCATTTTCAACCACTACAAAAATAAGAAGTCCTTCAATAGATGATCTAGCATCCCAGTTCAAAAGAAGGAAGAGTCTAAATTCAGAGAAGAACCAAAAGAACATTAAGTGTTGCAAGAAGCATGAAAAACCCAGCACACCAAGGAAAAGTATACGCATAACATGTTTGATATAATCTTCAGATTCTACAAAATAAGAGTTTCCTTGTGCATCATTGTGCTGTTCTAAGTACACCTGCTCCTGGATATAGTGCAGGATGGAAGACACATGACATATGTATCATTTGGATAAGGTCCTTGTTTATTGTCCTTTATTCATTGGACTTTAATTAGGCTACTAAGCAGCTTTGCTGTAATCCCCCCCCCTCCTGACAAGTTTCTTAGGAGACCCACATTAAATGCCTGACATATGGCACCTTCTATTGGCTCTGTTGTTTTCAGCTATGCTTCTCTATATCATGTGCGCTCTCATCCACTCCTTTCCTCTACTGTCATCATTTTGTTAGCAAATACGCTCAGATTTTCTTGATGAGAGCCTTCGGCTGAACTCATCACTTCCAGAACAGATTTCTGGGGCTTCCAGATTAGCGATGTGGGTCAGTTTGTTTTCAGTAGTTTGGAAGCACTTTTGTTTGGCATAGCAGATTCTTAGGTAATCCATCTACACTGACTCCTAATGAAAATGTTCAATTTGAACTGTTTAGTTCAAATTGTCACACAAACGAGGACCTTGAGGTAAAAAAAAAAAACGGAAATATTTAAAAGGAAATAAAGAGTTTTTTAAAGAGATACTGTCGTTTCTGCTCCAGCTGACGGTGATTTTTTAGTGCAGGCAAGGCTCAGCACACACTTCACCACTGTGACACCAGATCAGGCTACATCACTGATTCTATATCATCTGTCCTGGTAGATTATATAACAGCCTCTACTTTGTGACACTGAAGGAAGAGAACAGAAAACACAACTTGTTAGGGGGTAAAATTAAATAGCTGATAAGAGGTGTCTCCTACCTGTAAAGCCATCTGGACAGACACACTGATAAGAGTTGACGAGGTCCTGGCAGCTTCCTCCATGCTGACATGGAGCAGACTCACACTCGTCCACATTAACAGAGCAGTCGTCTCCTGCAAGAGGATTATATCAGTGATATTTATATCCACGTCACCTTCACATCAACGAGGCACATGCAGAGAAACTCAAGTGGTTTTTGTCTGGTTTACCAATGAATCCTGGCAGACAATGACAGATGAAGCCGGCGGCCACATCATAACTGAAGTCAGCAGTGCTGAGTTCAGGAAGCTTTCTGTAGTTCACGACATCTGAGCGTTGAAAACACTTTCCACCATTGTGACAGGGATGCTGCTCACACTCATCTATATCCACCTGGCAGTCGTCTCCCTTGTAACCTGCTTGCACATAAACACAAATACATTATATACTTATTCTTATAATAATACTCAGTCTGTCAACATACTTACATGGTCGTAAGAACATCATGCTATATCGCCTCAGTCCTACAATAACTACAAAATAAGAAATATTCAAATATTAAATATATTAAAAAATACTTTCTGAGGAGGATCAAATGTAACCAAAATAAAACATTTTACTAAAATATTCAGGCCCCCCAAGACTTTTCTAAAGCTGTTTCTTTAGTTACTCCCCAGAACTACTGTTTCTTTCCTTAGCAGGACATCGTTTCCACTTTAACCTCCTTCCATTAGATTGATTGTTTCTGAGCAATCAAAGCAGAAAACGGTGCCAGCATGTCAGTGTTTAGTGTGCTGAGCAATGCAAAGTTAGAAATAATCTCTGAATTTGTTGTTCAGAAGCTGATGTGATGCGTCCAACACAACAGCATGTTTACAGTTCGTTGGATAGTTTGACCTTCAAACGATGGGGGCACAGTTTTTTTTTAATAATTCATGTGATTTTTAAAAGTCTTTAAATTAGTGTAAATAATCAGACTCAGGGACACCTGCTAAACACAGCTTAGCTTTTCTCATCTTCAGCCTGCGTCTGCATCTTTGTACGTCCTCCTACGTTAAAGAATGTCCCTGCTTTTGAATGGTGGCTCTGCTCTTTATGCCCTCAGACTCAAGAGTCCTTAACTCCTTTGTTCAGTGTGATTCATGCATGGGAAACCCCGCAGCTTTTCTTTTTTTCACTTTTTAGCATTTTTGGTGAGTAGTTATATAACACAAGCCCTAAACCATGGTGAGAGGTGGTTTAGACTTAGAGTTGAACCACAGCGTACCTGGCCAACACAGGCACTTGTACTGATTGGTCCCCTCCAAACACGTGGCTCCGTTCTGGCAGGGGTCAGAAGCACATTCAGGAATATCCTCTTCACAGTAGTCGCCTACAAAGCCTGTCCCCTCACAGTCACAGATATAACTAGCAGAGACAAGATAGGCAGTCTTAGACTGATTGAGCATGTCTGTCATACTACACATTAGATTACTGTTGCACTGTTGTAGCTGGTTGACATAGAGTGCATTTTAACCTCCTAGGACCTGCTGTCCACATGTGTGGCATCACATTTTGGGGCGTTTAGACCAAAATACATTTTGCTCTACAAGGGCCTGATATCCACTTACAAGGACTTTACACTGCCACTGTTCGATCCAAGTTTAAAGCCAATGTCCTCAAATCTGGATCTGATTTTTCTCAGAAACAAAAACCAGGTTAAGAAAAATGTTGTAATTCTTTGTTTTTACATTCATCAGGTTCCAATCAACCCAAAAAACAAAGAGAAATTAAAGATGCTGCCATGGAAGAGTTTGGGTCTTAGGAGGTTAAGATGAAAACTTCCCACTGGGCTCCAAGTATCTTGTTATCTCCACTTGACCTCAACATTGTGCACAAAACACAAATATCAGTGAAATTGTAAAAGATTTCATTTTTAAAAGTGCATCCTCACATGTGACAAGCTGAAACAATGAAATGTTATGTTTTGATTTTTTTTTATTTTTTTTTTACAAAAAATATACAAATGGAAACAATGTTTTGTTGTGTAATTTATAATAATTCTATTTGAATAATACTACAAATGCAGACAGATCAAAGAGTTTTAGTATCAAAGCCTCTGACTTGATTTCTTATAAATCCACTTTTTTCAGCTGTAAGAAAATTCCTTTTTTTATTACACTGACAAAATAATGGTTGCAGCTGTAAACAAATAATAAACATGTACCTGTGATGCTAAATGCAACTTAAGTACAGGCCAGTAAAGCAGCTTCTCATCAAAAAATCAATTAATTCAAATAATGATTTTTCTACGATTTTGTTTCTAAATGATGTTCACTCATTTGATTCTGACTCAGTGTAAGATTTACATACTGATGCTTATAATGTGAAACTACTACATCCTTTATCTTCTTCACTCGATGCTGTTAAAATACATTTTACTGTCCCAGGCATTCACAGCACCTACAGCTGTGTGAGGACTATGACCGTGACAGACAGTAAGAGGATTCATTCCTGTCCTTGATCAACTTTAATGTCTGCCGTGCAGTCCTGGGCAGACACAACACAGACTGACACAGTGCACCTGTATGTTAGTGTACACTAGTCTCTTCCTAACACCGATTATCTTCAGTCCACCTGACTGTTAAATATTCTGCTCATTACCTTTATCCTGCTAAATTATAAGGTTTGATTACAGTGATTATGAGGATTATGAGTCGTGTTGTTGCACTGATGAATTCCTTCTATTTGATGTACTACTACTTATATGTACTACATGATTGTACTACACATGTTTTTATCTTCAGACACAGCTGTGCCACTTCAACAGTACAAAATGCTGTCAGTTTGAAAAACAACGAATAATTATTTCACTACAGTAAATATCACTACATATCAAAACAGTTTGATTTGCTAAAGTTTTACTTTGGTTTTTATCTTTTGATGCTTTGAATCTGTTGTATTTCCTTCTTCAAACAGCTCATTTGCACAGTAAACTATGAGAGTTACATTTTTTACATGTAGAAAAATTAGGCATGTCAGGGACACCCCCACCCCCGACTCTAATCATTCAATTCTAGTATGAAGATATGGTTCAAGTTTAAGTTTAGGGAAACAGCCTCGTGTGGAAAATATATTTATAGGTCTTATAAAGTTTGTATCTGTCTTGTATGAAACTTGTATGAAAATCAAGATCCCTTGAAAAATGATATAAATAAAACTTGTATATGGATACTTACTAAAACAATATATGGAAGTAATGAGAAAGTGCCCACTATCATGAGTGAAGCATATCAGCCTTACATGAGTCACTATATGAAGAAGGCCACATCTGATGCAAGTCTTTTAGAAGTTTATTCTATTTCTTATGGGGCACATTAATGACATCCAGGGTATATTCAGTATATTGAAAGAAATACTACCTGTTCACACCATCTATGCATTTTCCTGTATTTAGACAGGGCCAGCTGGCACATTCATCAATGTCGACTTCGCAGTCTTGCCCCTGGAACCCAGCCACGCACTCACACGAGTACATGGCAACATGATCTCGGCAGGTGGCGCCATTTTGACAGGGACGAACCTCACACTCATCGATCTCCACCTCGCAGTTAATCCCTGCAGAGGACACAGCCGGGATGGCAGAAGGCCAGCGCATGAGATTTGGCGATGCATTGTCATATATGTCCACAATGATCACATTTCACATTTGAAATAATCAGATGTAGGATTAGCAGTTTGAGGACAGACAGCTATCTCGGGGTTACTCACTGGAATTATTTTGCAGAGTTTCAAGAGATCATCTTTAGCTGCCACTGTCATGTGGTACAAACTACATTAAACTAAACAATGATTCACACTGTGTCACACTGTGATATACACAATGAGATGTTTTGTTCTCTTTACATCATATTCCAAAATATACCCTCCCGATTAAGCTCTTTTTAGCTCTGCAGTCTCAAAACTGCAGCTGCCTGTACCACTGCCTCGTATTTCTACCAGCCCAGCATCCTTTTGTAGGTTATTGAGGAATGTTTACGCATGACTTACCAATTTTAAATATAGCTTATTTTTGTTGAGCGATAAGCTTGGAGCAAATCAATAATCTGAAACCTGAGAATTTCCTGTTGTCCACAGCAACTTGTTCTCATTCCCAACCTTTTATGTTCAGTTACATTTCAACATATCAGGTACTCATTTAGTCCAATGTTCTGATATACAGGCAGTGCTCCATAGTGCTATTTTGCCAGTGGTTGGAGGTATAACTGCATGACTTTCAAAAAGAAGACCAGACTTTGGGTCCCATCTGACACAATGATTAAACAGTACCTGCTCTATGTTACACCTACATGTTTGCTGGGAGTGACAAAGGTTATTTAAAGAGGTATGATTATAATAAGACAAGAATTACAGACTATACACTGCTACTGTTAAATGAGCCAATATAAGTGTAATTAAATCTTATTGGACTTATTTGGGAAAGTATTCTAAACCTAGAACAGCCAGTTAAAGCTGTAAATTTAAAATATGTTCATATGAAGCTCGGTTCCTTACAGTTCCTGCACTATGCTGCTCTGCCTGTTGTAAACACGACCTGCTTCAAATACCTGCTCACCTTTATAGCCTGGAGCACAGTCACACCTGTAGTGATCTACCTCATCCCAACACGTGCCATTATTCTGACAGGGTCGGGAGGCACACTCGTCGATGTCCAAATGACAGCGGGAGCCTTGAAATCCTGGCACACAGAAACACTGGTATGCATTCACTCCATCTTTACAGATGGCTCCATTCTGGCAGGGCTCCGACTGGCACTCGTCTACGTTCTCCTCACAGTTTGTCCCCTGGTATCCTGCAGCACACTGGCACAGGTGCCCAGTGTCAGGGATGTCCGTACAGGTGCCACCGTTCTGGCATGTTTCCTCTGAACATTTGGTCACATTATCCTGGCAGTGCTCACCACCAAAACCAATTGGACAGTGGCAAGAATAGCCATTGACTCCATCGACACAGTAGGACTTATTACCCTGGCAGGGGCTACTCTGACATTCATCAACACCCTGGGTGCAATTGAGCCCTGCGAAACCACCCGGGCAGAGGCAGCTGTACTTGCCAGTTCCAGGTTTGCTTGTGCAATTGCTGCAAGTTGCATCGATGCAGGCATCATACAGGTCCTCACAGTTTTTACCTGTGTACCACACTGGTTCTTTGGGGCAAAGGCACACGTAGTCGCCAAAGTGGTCAAAACAAGAGCCGCCGTTGTTGCAAGGAGACGATAAGCACACATCTTCTGCTGCTGTGCACAGCAGGCCTGGAAATGAAAGACAAACTTCCTGTTAAGAACACATAAAATCATGTTTCTTTACCGTCACTTTGTGATAGAGGTTTCTTCACTAACTCAGCTCTTAGAAGGGCTGTTTAGTCCAATTTGCAAACATATAAAGTCTCTGTTAGCGTTGCACGTCGTGGCGTTAGTGTTTGTCCCAGCTCATCACTTTAACCCAAACTGCAACATTTACCATCCTCAGTAGTTTTAGTAACTAAACCAAAGTGAGACAAACGAAGCCAAGCGATGAGTGAAGCAGCTCGTTTCACAGTGTTGTGATTTATTGAGGCCCCTGTTATATTAACACAGTCTTTAAAGCACGTATTAGAAACACTAGTCAACATAATTTGAAACTTTACAAAAACTATAAAGATATTGTTCACATATATTTCTAACAATTAGTAAAAATGAATAGTAGTTTATTTATGTATTTTTTGTGTGTAATTTCATTTATTTGAATTTATCTGATAAAACTATAGATAATTATGATAAATACCACATGGATCATTTACTGGAGCATGGAAATGTTTGTCAGGTTAACTGATCTTTCTACATTTGCTGCAGGTGTAGCTGCAGGAAGGATTCACCTTTGAGGTGCATATGAGACTCACCCCGTCTCCAAATGTACGACGCATCCTGCAGAGAAGTTCATTTAACCTCAGCCTGTATACGCAATGACAAGAACAAATGTGGGCACTGCAACAAAATACCCGAGAAGTCATTTTATATGTTGAACCTTGCATTATAATAGGCTCTTCCAAAGTTTCGGTCTAGCTGTAAAATTACTCTTTATCACCCCTAAAGCAGGAGAAACACCTGTATGTCAAGAAAGCCCATTGTGACACCTCCCTCTCCTTCCTCCCCAACAAAGTGTTGGATTTTCACTACTGACATCTACACTCACAAATTTATGGAATTACTGTAAGATGTTTTGAATAAAATCACCCCAATAAAATGGCAGCCACTGTGTCCCACTGCTAACAACCTCCCAGTAACAATCTGTTTATATCTTCCCTGCAACACCTACAGTCCTCATTTCCCACTGTATCCACTTTAACACCCCCAGTTCCTCTCACATGCATTTGCTATCACCTTCTTTATCTGCTCTTACTTCCTCCTCACATGAGTGTCTCACATCTCCATGCACCACCTTTCTGCTTTCCAAACCTGAGAAGTGCTGCATTGTTTGTTTCCTCTGTTTTAATTTCATAGTTGATAATAAGCCCCAGCATGCTCACTTATGACCAATAATCACACTTATGATGACTGGAAACAGGAGGAAAGAGAATGAGACTGAAGATTAATGGCTGTAGTGAAGGAGTAGACCGAATACAACGCTGAGGCCGATAATCCAACGTGGAGACTCTTAAAAAACAAAGAATAATAGTCTTCATGTTATATTATAGACATATTATAGTCTTCAT